TGCCCCCCCAGCCTCTGCCCAACCCTTTCCAACAGCAGCAGCTTAACCACGGTCCCAGGCTGACGCCAGGACTGTCCCCCCACTGGCAGCTCTTCACCTCCAGTTTGCAAGTGACCAAACCCCACTCTGGCCTGGTGGGTCCCGGTTTCCTCCCACCACTCACCCGAAAACAGCACCAGTAACTCTTGGCCCTTCCTCTCCAACGCCTGCCCTGCAACCTGGGGTCCCTCACCCCATTCCATCCAAGGGATGGGTGAAACACCCCCTGGGAGCCCATTGACTAGATGTGGCCCCACGCCGGAGGCCAAATCCTTCTCCTGTGCCCCAGACATGTCCCCACTGCCCCGGGATGTGAGCACAGGGCAGAGCCAACCGGTGCCTCCTGCGCACATGCCGGTGTCCCAGCTCTTCTCCCAATGCACCCGGGCCCAGGCACCTCATCCCAAAACCAAGGTGCAGACAGGCTCACCTGCCCCCCACAAGAACCCTGTCCTCTCACCGATGGGCAGGAGAGGTGGTTGTAAGCTCTGGGGACACGTCCCTTTGTCACCCCCACTTATGAGCAATTTACTGAACCACACGAAGTCGCTGGCCAGTAATGCAAGACAACAGATGTTTTTTCGGCCTGGTTTATTAAATGCCTGTTCCTGGGGATGTTCTGGCTGCCAGATCTGCACCCCCAGGGTGCCCACATTTCCTGCCACAGCAGCATCCCCAGCCAGGGCTGTACCCCCAGGGTCCCAGGGCTGTGGGGAGCGGGTTTAGCTGGAAGGATGGACGGCTGCATTTTTCTGTGGGCTTCCACCCCAGTCCCTGTGCTGGACTCAGCCTGAATGTCTGCTCGGCTGGGAAGGAGTCATGGGGTCCTGGGGCACCGCCCAGCACGGGGAGCCTGTGCACATCCCAGTCAAGCCAGGATGTGCTGGTGTCACACTGGGCTTCATCTCATCACCTCTACCATCCCCACCCAGAAAGGGGACCGAGCTCAGCCCCACACATCGCACCGCTTGCTCCCCATGTCCTCAGGGTTCCACGTGCCCCAGACAACAGGCAGGTGTCCTGCCTTGGCCATACAGACTTCTCTTTACCTGGTTCTTTCCCAGCAGCTCTGTGGGACAGCAGGGCCTGGCACGCATGGCTGAGGAAGGTCACGACAGCCGTGGGCACGGTTCCTCCCTGGGAACAACCCGAGCTGGCAGCAGTACCTGCACGACAGCGGAACCCCCAGGGCTTGCTGCTCACTGCCCGTCATGGAGCCTCCCTCGGGGACAAGACTTGCTGGAGGGTGCCCAGGCCAGAGGGCAGGACATGGAGGGGGGTCTGAGGGGTGACGGGACGGTGGTCAGTGGTGACAACGGGGGTCAGCCCTGCAGCACTCCGACAGCTTCCGCAGGACTCGCTCCTTCAAGCGGAGCCTCCTGGAGAGCTTGAGTGAGTTGCTGGTCTCGTGGGACTTCAGCTTGGCATAGTAGTCAGAAAACTTGTTGTAGAGGATGGAGATGGGCATGCCGTTGAGGATGATGCCGAAGGAGATGCAGGCAAATGCCACCATCCTGCCGAG